AGGGAAAACTTTTTTCGGCCGCTCGAGCAATGAACCTACTCAATCCCGCGATTCCCCCTGTCAGGACTTGCACTTCTCTTATGCTTCTCGGTGGGGCCATGTCGAGTATGGCTTCCACCTTGTCTTTGTTCACTTCGATCCCTCGCTCCGTGACAACATATCCTGGGATCGTCCTGCCCTTACTCCAAAGGCACATTTACTTGGGTTCAACTTCATTCCGAATGCTCTAAGGGTTTTAAATGTCTCCCTTAAATCATCTGGATGTGAAGTCGAGGATTTTCTCTTCACCAGGATGTCGTCAACGTACAATTTCATATCCCGCCCAATCTGAGATTTGAATATGCGATCCATTAACCTTTGGTAGGTCGCTCCCGCATTCTTGAGTCCAAAGGGCATAACGACATAACAATATGTCCCTTTGCTTGTCACGAAGCTCACTTTACTGTGGTCCTCGGGGGCCAAGGGAATTTGATGGTACCCTTGGGACGCATCCATCATACTCAGCAGCTCGCAGCGAGCTGTGGAGTCGACTAGCTGATCAATTCTCGGCAAGGGGTAGTGATCTTTTGGGCATGCCAGGTTCAAGTCGCGAAAGTCGATGCACATACGCCATTTGTTTAGTGCCTTCCTCACAATCACTGTGTTGGATATCCATTCGGGTAATTGGATTTTTTGATATGTTTAGATTTCAACAACTTGTCCACCTCGACTTCAATTGCTTTGCTGATTTCCGCCCCATGATGCCTGAGCCACTGCTTCGCCGGCTTTCTGAGGGGTTCAACATTCATCTTGTGCTCCATGACTTCTGGGTCGATTATCGTCAAATCCTCAGGGGAAAAGGCAAATATGTCCCTGAATTCTTTCAACAGCTCCACCAATTGTTTTCGCAACTCGCCTCCAACTCTCTCCCGACTTTGGTGGATTGGTCTTCCCTTTCACCAATTTGGATCTCCATCAATTCTCCGTGTGGCTCGAGATCACTCCCTCTCGATCTCTTCTCATTCGTCATTGGTTTCTTTCCCTCCTTGATTTCAACTCGTTGATTGGTTTTCACTGCGATCTAATAGCACGTTCTCGACAAACTTCTTGTCCTCTCGGGCCTCTCCCACTCAGTCTCCAACGGGGAATTCCAACTTCATGTGGCAAGTCGACACCACTGCTTGGAAGGCATTGAGTGTCGGCCACCCAAGGATCACATTATAGGCCGACTCGACATCGACTACCACAAATCTCACCATCTTCACCTTCCTCCAGTCTCCTTCCCCTAGGGCGACAGCGAGCATGGTTTCTCCTAGGGGCACGAACTCTGATCCGTTGAACCCAAAGAGCGATGTGTGTAAAGGTGTGAGCTCGATGTTAAGCTCCATCCTTTTGAGGCATTCGTAGAAGATCACGTTCACCGAACTTCCCGTGTCGACAAACACCCGTTGCACTTCATATCCCGACACATGCGACGTTGTAATTAGGGCATCGTTATGTGGCATCTCGACTTCTCCTACATCAGCAGACCCAAAGTTCATCACTGGCCCGTTCTCCTCGACTTGATGCACTTCGACTTTTGCATATCGACCTCGAGCATACGCCTTTCTTGCTCGATTCAAATCTCCATCTGTCGGACCCTCAGAAATCATGTGAATCACTCCTGTTTTCGGGAGGAGTTCCTCCTTCTCTGGTGATCTCGTCCTCTTGCGAGGGCTTTTACTTCTTTCCTTCCTTCTGCTCGACCTTTCGCGGTCTTTGTATATGAACTCCTTCAGATGTCCAGCTTTGATCAACCTCTCGATCTCGTCTTTGAGGTGTCTACAGTCGTCGGTATTATGCCCGTAGTCTTTATGGAATCGACAATATAGATTGCTTTTCGGTTTCACTGGTCCATCCTTTCTCGTCCTCGGCCATCTCACCACATCGTCGTGGATTTCCCTCTCCATTACTTCCAATATCCTCGCGTGTGGAGCCGACAGGGGTGTGTATTGAATTGGCCTCCATCCCCTAGACCTTCCTTCACCCCTGTCCGCCTGTGGTGATCCTCTCCTTTCCCCTGTCGAGTGCACCTTCTTCTCTTTCTTATCATCTCGACCTTCCGTCTGGGACACCTTCATGGTCTGTAAATAGTCGGCCTCCGCTTCCTCGACGTTCATGTACTTAGCGCATCTTCTTGGCGGTCTTATGACATGTCCTCCCAATTTTCAGCTGTTGGCTATTATATTCAACTAGGGACTATGTACTTTGCACAT